CAGACTTATTCCCAAGTTAATCCCTGAGTTGTTCGTTATTTCTTTGAATACTTTATGACCTCTTGATAACTTTTTCGTAATGTTAACGTGCGGTTTCGGTCTCGTAAATATTGTTGGGAGCCCTGCTTGCTTTTGTTACTAATACTGATGGACTGAGCAATTATCTTTTTCTAACCAACTTTTCTATATATTAATATCATGATAGGATCTTGATAAAGTTTCAAAAGAACTTGATAAAGTCTCTAAAGAACTCGACAGGTCACGTAAAAGGATCAAATCCCTTAAAAGAGAGAAAGAGTATGTACTTTCAATATTTTAAATGTTGTCAATCTTTCCTATGTTTTTAATGTTTTCCAAATTTACCTTTTTATCTCCTCCTCTTTCATGTAGGTTGTTGTTGGATCGTATCAGCCGGTATGTGACTGACTCTTCTGATTCTGAAAAATCAATTGAACTCTCGTCAGGGGCTTCATCAGACTCTGATGGTAAATATCCTCTTTTATTATATATTATTATTATTATTATTATTATTCAATTATTAATTAAATTATTAATTAAAATTCTGACTATTTAATACATCATAGTATCTTCGGCTCAACAATCTAGAGCATCATCTATCATTCGTCAAATAAAAAAACCCCGCGGGCGTATTTCAAATAAAAAATCTTCTCCACCCACACCCGCAAATAACATTGTGAATACCGTTCCCATCCCTCATGCTTCCGGGAAGGTTACGAAAAAGCGTGCTAGTAAACGTCCACTTAACGCTAAAACTATGAAAGTTCAACATGTTGAAAAGGATGATGATGGAAAATACAAACTTCCTGTTCAAATTGGTATATTGACCGTATTGAGTCTTGGTACCGTCGTTTATGAACGTGATACTTTTCACAACGAAAGATACATTTGGCCTGTTGGTTATGCTGTTAAAAGGTTTTACTTTTTATTTAATTTTATTTATTTAATTTTATTATCTTTCACTCATTTTCTTTATATTTATATTTTTATAGAGCTTACAATAGCATGATCAATGCTGATAGCCAAACAATGTATGTCTGTAGAATTGAAGATGGCGGTGAAGGTCCAAAAGTACGTTAATTTGTTTTTATTTCATATTTTTTTAAAATTTTATTAAATATCTTATGTTTATATTATGTTTATTAATAATCTTTATATCTTTACATCAATTAG